CCTAAGTTAGGTAAGGTATTTCAAGGAAAACCGGGTGGCCGGAGCCGTGTGTGGTGGCCGGAGCCTTGTGTAAGGGAGAGAAAGAAAGTGGTGGCTAGGGTTTGTGAGAAATGATTTCTGCAGAGTTTCAGTAGGAATTTAGACGTACCTCCACCCTTGTGTGTGGCTATGCTTTTATAATGGTCTTGGAGGCTAGGGTTTCAGAGGAATAATTCCGTAGATGGAAGGGAATTATTCCTCCCCTTTTTGGAATTGATTTGATTAATTAGGGATTTGATTTATTAGGGTAAATCAAATCCCTAATCGTGGTAGGTATCAAATCACATCCTACTTCCATTGGGTAACTCCTCATTTAATTGGGAATCGTGGTAATTAACCAAATCAATTTTTAACCCAATTAGGCAACGCTCAATTTAATTGGGTAATCCCCAATTAAATTGAGTAACTCCCAATCAGGTTAATTAATTCCCAATTAGGTCAAATAATTCCCAAATGGAATGAATTATTTGACCTAGGGTTTTGATTTAATTTGGTTACCACACTATCTTCAGTCGTAACGCCAATGAAAGCGGTCGGAATCTGCCGCCTTTTTTATGAATGTGATCGTAAAGAGTGCCGTTGGAGACGTACTCGTAAACCAGTGAAGGCCTTTGGGTCTCTAAACAACAACCCAGGAGCTTCACAACATTTTTATGGTTGATTTGAGCAACAACAATCACCTCATGCACAAGCTGATTACTCTGGCCTGGGCTAGTAGGAAGTTTGGATTGTTTTATGGCAACCACTTTTTCATCTTCCAGTATTCCTTTGTATACGATCCCATAGGTCCCTTCACCAATTATTCTATCTTCATGGTAGTTGTTTGTGACTTTCTGAAGTTCTTTATCCGTAAAGAGTCTGGGTGTATCAGCACGTCCATTGTACCTCTTCAGTTGGTTTTGTAAAAATAAGCCACCATTTCGCTCAAAGTGTTCTTTTTTAAGTTTACTGACCTTCCTTCTCTTCATGTAGTGCATCAATGAAACTACCACCGCCAGTAAAAAACTGAAGCTCCCAACAACAGCTGCACATAATTATTGAAAATTTACAACAAAACTTATCTAATTACATTATTTACAAAGAAATTCTTTTTTAGCTAAAATAATCAGCTGGCTATATATGATCAAATATGTGAATGGATGTAATTTGGTAGGTAGCCATCGCACATACCGAATAAAACTTTATTGGTTGTGTTGTCTGCTGCGGAATGTTTGACGCAGGTCCTGGGGTCTTGGTTTTTGAATCCTTTATTACATGAACAAGAGTAATTTCCAGGTGAATTCATGCACTTTCCATTGGTGCAGGGGTTTTTTCTGGCGCATTCATCAATATCTGGAAAAAAAAATCAGCAAAATTCTAAATTATAATAGGAAGGGAAGGGGGAATTCTCATGCACATACACGGTGTCATGGAGACCGAACCGCAGACCGGTCTGCATGCCAACAGTTCTACCACTGAGCTAACACCCCATTGGATTATAATACATATATATAGTATACAGATATATAGCGTCATTTGAAGAAGCAGATGTTAAAATATCTCACCTTGGCAACCATTTGGGTGGTACGGGTTTCCGTGGTAACCTTCCAAACATCGGCAAATGTAACCAGACTGATTGGGGCGGTTGGCACATGTGGTATTCGTCTTGCATGCATAATGCGGTCTCTTTCGAGCTGCATCACAAGGTTCTGGCTCATTCCCAATTGCCCAATTAACAACCATTGGAAGCTTCTCTTTTGTGCTCAGCTCTTGAAAACTTTTTTTGGAGAATTTGAACTGGTCTTGCTCCACAACGAAGGCATAGCTGCACTTGTTGACGTCCTTTACAAATGAATAATTGTAATAGCTGGACAATTTGACTGTTTGATTGTACAGGCCACTGGGGATCTTAGTTTCACAACAACCAGCGCCAGAGCAAGAGTCCTGATCAACGCTGCCAAGGCCATCGCACCAGGCCGTGCACCCAGTGGCAAACATGGTTTCATTTCGGTAACCTTCGAAAATTACGTTAGTATCACAACCAATGGCTACCAAATTGTTTTTGGTATCAGAGATTGTGAAAGGAGGCGGCATCCAGAGCATAGCCGAGTTGTTGCTGGGAAGATGACCCTCGGTGTCATAACAATCTTTTGCGACGTACTGCTGGGTTTGCATCTCGGCATCAGGAAGGGATATGTTGGTAACAGTCAGGTTACCCCAGTATGTTGTCGGGGGCACAGTGAACGTATTACAAGTGAGACTAAAGTTAGCCATGTAGCACCCTTTTCCTATGCCAAATGGGTATGGGATTGTGAGATTACCACATTTCTCTTGGCAACCAGGCAGGGCTTGAGGCAGAGCTGCTATTGTTGCAGCCGCTAATATTACAACTGCCACCATTTCCAAAGAGGGTTGCACAATGAGCAGCATCCTCCCATGCAAGGCCATAGCACACCTTAACTCCTTCTGGATATATTTGTATTGAGTATGAAAAGTATATGCTACTCATGAGTAAAAGTAAAGTAGCAAGCCTGGATATTTATAGGCAATATACAATCAAATGACTAGTTAAGATGGGTATGCTCGCCGTGGCTCATGGGATCTAGACCTTGTATATATTATGCACGCCACAAAAGACAATAATTCAATACCATACATATACATATAGGGAGCTTCAAGTGAGAGATTTATTAAAATATCTTATTTGAGGGACACTTTTATAAGACTCATTCCGTATTGTATTTCAATGATCCGAACTGTTTAATTTTCATGTATTCCCTCAAAGATTATCTATGCAAAAAGCCACTTATATATGAAGTTATTTCACCATTCAATTATGTGGGAGTCATTTTTATATTTTCTTAAAACACCATGTCAAAAACTTAAAAAATAAACTGCTCCGGTCAATGAAGTAAAATTTGTAGTATACCACATAAGGTCTCTCAAATAATTCATCAATAAATGATTTTACGCCTTATCAAGTCTTTGTTATTTAAGTTTGTAGCTCAAGTAATCATGGAGCCACAATATTTAATTAAGCCACAATATATACTCATGTCATGGTTAGATAGGGGAAATATATGGTCGTCTCTTCTCTTGTAAAGTCCAGCCAATATTAAAGACATATCAACATCATTTTTTCTTGGTTTTTGTGTCAATCAACATATCACATTGATAGCACGAGTCAATATACTACAAGATTCTTTGGCATGTGAGAGAAAAACTAGGATTTTATGGAGATACTGGAAAGACTTTCTTCCCCAAACCGTCTTGCAATCAAGAAAAGAAAAGTGATACGAAAGAAGATACTGGAAAGACTTTTCAAAGTCTGAAACTCATGATGAAGACTTGTGAATTTATTGTGAAGACTTTTATTTTTTTTGGCTTCAAATTATTATGAAGACTTAGTGATGAAGACTTATTGTGAGTTTCAGCATTAGTCCCCGTCAAGATTCATTGCATATGAGAGAAAAACTAAGATACTATGAAGATATGATGACTGAAAATATATGAAAACTGAAAATCAAAACCGAAAAGTCACAAAATGGGTCGTAAATCACCAGGTAAGTTGTATTATTTTTCCATATATCAGCATGTATATACTTTTAGGGGAGTTTCACTAAAACACCCAAAATGAAGGTTGAAATTATAAAAAAACCCAACACCCAAAACACTTTATAAACACACCCAAAACCCATCATTACACACACTTAAAACCCATTTATAAACACACCCAAAAAATTGACTTTGGGGTTGATTTTGGGTGTGTTTCTATGTTTAAATAGTGCTTGGGTTTTTTTATAAATACATGTCTAGGATTGGGTTTATTTATAAATTTGTATACTTGTAGTTGATGACGCAGACCCAAATGGAAACAATCATTTATGACATTGTTGTAATTTTTTTTTGTTTTCCAAGGCTTTTACACTAATAATCAATTAAAAAATAATAAGTAGCTAGTTTTGAGTTTTTATCTCCAAATATGTTTTATATGGATTTTTGTATAATATGTCCGGCTAAAATAGACTTAATTATTTTTTTTTTTAAAAACCTAAATATTTTGTCCCTTTGTAAAGTCAAATTGTTTCTTCCTCTTTGCTAATTTGATTGTTCCAATGTTATCCAATCTACGACGGCCAGGTCGTCTCTGAACCAACGCCAAAGACATATATACATATCAGCGTCAGCGTTTCTCACACGTTCATGTCCTCATTTAGCTTCTATACATAATCCTATAGTCGTACTTATGAAAATTCCAACTGGACAGTAACTATGGCCAACATTAATTCACAGTTGGAGATAAACAACCAAGCAAACTAACATATATATTGCAAGTTGCAACAGGAACAACTTCCCTTGGACATATAATTGGCGCCATGGAAAAGGGTGCATGTGGTTTAGTATTCTATATGTCAAATAAATATTTGGGGAATACCTTGTAAGGCTCATTCCGGGTTCTATTTTAATAATTAGGCAAAATTGGTGACAATCCAATTGCCACTGTGACTTTTCTTTTGTGATTGCCTTGTAGGCCTTATTGCCAGCTTCCCAAATTTGATATCCAATATGCACTAAGAAAGGAAGTTTTGTTTCCCATTTTTTCTTTGGACCAAGTCCTCCACTTTTGGATGTGGGATGTCGTGCTTGCCCCTTAGCATTTTCCGTATTGAAAGCTATACCTGGTGTAGTGCTGATTAAAAGAAAAATGCAATCAGAAAATTAAGAGAAGTAAAACGACTTAACGTAGAAATTAGAGTATCGAACCCAAGTCTCCTTGTACCGGTAGGTCCATTTCTAATATCTTCTTATGATGAATTCTTTCCATATTTTACAAGGAAATTGAAAGCCTATTTCTTTTTCTTTTTTTCTTCCTTACTCCCAGAAAATAAAACTAGATGTTTTATATCAATTAACTCCAACTCGGCCAAGGGTTACTTCCAGTTCGTTTTATTGATATGTTAGTATTTATA